TCTTGGCGTATTCTTTTGAACTTGCACTATTCAGTGCAACCCATGGAACTCGTCCAGTGTTTGTGTGAACTGAGTGCGCACTGGTGCGCACTAACTTTCGCCCAATCGAAAACGCTATTAGATTCGTGAAAAGCTTAAATATCTCATTTACAAAGCTTTAAAATTATGTTTCGCTCTTATGGAAACAGATTGAAAATTTCGAAAAAACACTGAAAATAAGAGGTTAACGCCCAAATTTGAGTGTTAACCCCTCATTTTCAGTGTTTCTTCGAAAATTTTCAGTGTCTGTTTCCATAAGGACGGGGCCCGGAACATCACAATTTCACCGTTGAGTAGAAAAAGACGCAGATTGGCCGCAACCTACGTCCCTCTCTCTCATTTTCCTCGACCAACATATCCTATACCACTTACTGTAGTTATACACGGATCGCGCAGTCCATTCTCTATGTCTTTGGTCTTATGAATTGCGGTACTTTATAAATCTAGTGACTTAGTTGGTACGACTTAGTCAACTTCACCCTACATTCTGTCTGGATATCCGATAATTTTACGATCTGATGCAACCCTACAAATTATACTCCATCTAATTATTCATGAAAAAGTTATAATTACAACACTAAGAAAATTTTATAGCGCGCACAGTAATATTTACAATTCAAAATGATGAAATTTACACAAAAACATAAATAAAAAAAATCGCTTCGACTTTACAACGTAAATGACACATTGGGGTATTTTGTATTCCGCCTCGAAATGCGTCGTCCTGCTCGGCTGTTATACAGAGACCAACTTGCCGCGAACTTTTCAGTTGGTAGTTGGGGATCTAAACTAACGGTAGATGAACTCAGAAGTTCGATTTACATCGGGATTATAAAATATATATACGATTGAAAAAGCCTTGGGATCTTTTGGACCCCCAGCATTTAAGGGTTAACCTAATTTAAACTCTCTCCTCTCTCTGCTGTTACTCAATATTTTATACTAAAACAATGGAATTAAACAGTAGATTAAATTGAGTTAAATTTGATATTATAGATTTAACTGTCAAATTTAACCCAATTTGAACTGTGTTTTCCAGTAGTA